TGGTCTCTGTCATGACTACTCAACTTTGCCGTGAAAACTGCCATCGATAGTGTGTAAATGAGTGAGCATGGCTGTGTTCCAATAAAACTTTATTTATGGCCACTGAAATTCAAATTTTATATAATTTGTACACGTCATAAAAAATGTTATTTTTTAGATTTCTTTTCTTCCCCCAATCATTAAAAAATATGAAAAAATAAAATTCATGTTGGAGGAGCAAGTGCTTATGAATAACCAGGACAATCTTGAAAAGGAAGAACACAAGTGGATATATTCAACTGGATATCAAAACAAAGTACACTCATTTCTCGATACACATAGGATGTTGGTTCCAGGACCCTCCACATATACCAAAATCTGTACATACTCAAGTCCCTCAGTGGGCCGTGGGAAACCCAAGTATATGAAAAATTGGCCATCTGTATAAGCGTGTTTTACTTCCTGCGAATACTGTATTTTTGGTCACATTTAGTTGAAAAACTGCCTGTAAGTGGATCCTTGTGATCAAACCCATGTTATTCAGGGGTCAACTGTAATGAAAATTGATAGTAGCATAGTATAAGATAGAATGGATTGATCAGATATACCTGAGTGAAGTTCTAAACTTTCCACTCTGGAAAGTGGAAAATCCAGAATTTTACTTAGGTATGATTGGTAATTTAATGTATGATAAAAACCACCATTTCAAACCAGTGGGGGAAAAAAATTAGGAACCATTCTTAGGTTGCGTGCCATACCAAAAAAAAAAAAAAAAAAAAGTAGGAAGTGGGCAGGATTTAGACCCCAGGCTATAGTTTGTCAAACCCTGTTACCAAGAAATTTATAGGCAAAGGCTCTGGAATCATTTTCCAAAACTGGTATTTCAAGGAACAGTAGTCCTGGCCTGATACTCTTAAGGATATTCCTACTGTTTCTAAGCAGATTAAAGCCTTTGTGAGCAAAGGATACAGACAGGTCACAGAGCAGGCCCTTAAACATGTGCCAAGATGCTCAACATCCCTCAAAATAAGTTAGCACTTTTCATCTCTCAGAGTGGCAGAGACCTCCAAGTTCAACAATACTTTACATTAGTGAGGCCATGGGGAATAGACACTCCTATGCATTGCCTGTGGGTGGGTAATTTAGTACAACCTCTGTAGGGGTAGCTTGGCAAGATCTATCAAAATTACAAACACATATGTGTCTTCTTTGATCCAGTAATTTCAAGTCTCAGATTTATATATCTGCTGTTGATATACATGATATACAAATAAAATGATATACAAATAAAAGTATTCATTGCATTGGCTGGGCTTATACCTGTAATTCCAGTGCTTTGGAAGGCCAAGGTGGGCAGAT